CGGGTACGGCGGGGACTCCGGCTTCGCTAACGGGCCCGGTGGCTGGCGTCTCCCGTCGGCCTGCGGGGCCTGTGCGCCTTGTGTAAGGTGCGGTAGCGGGTGATAAATCTGGTAGTGGAGGTCTTGTCTTTTGGGTGCCTTGTGAGGAGAGGTTGGCGGAACTGGGCATAGTCGACCTGGAGCAGAGGTGTTTTTGGGGGGCATCTAACAGCGCCATGATCAAGAAGACGGATTTTGGTGCTTGACAGGGACACGTGGCAGGAGCACGAAACAGCTACTTAAGTAAAAATGAGAAGCTCAGACTGCACGTAAGGGGCAGGGAAAAATCCCAGGTTTTTGTCCTGGGAACAGCTAGGCCTCCAAACAGGCTGCCCAGGGAGGCTGTGCAGTAGTCTGTCTCCATCCTTGAAGGGTTTCAAGACCTGACTGGAGAAAGCCCTGAGCAACCTGGTCTGATCTCATAGTAGACCTTGTTTTAAGCAGGAGTTTGAGCTAGGTGACTTGATAGCATCCATTCTAATCTCAGTTACCCTGTGGTCCTATAAATACTGCTTTCTATGAATGTCTAAGCTAATAACGTGCTCGAATTGACCCAGCAATTTGGAAGCGGTGTCATTCTAAATAGGCTCAAAGACTTGATTTTTCTGAAATGTCTGAAAATGCCATCAGTCAAACTTCTAGTGAATGCACTAGTAGCTCTGAATAATTTGCATTCATTTTTACAGTAATCCGCCAAAATGACGAACACAAAGGGAAAGAGGAGGGGGACACGTTATATGTTCTCAAGGCCGTTCCGCAAGCATGGTGAGTGTACCTTACAGTAAGAACACTTTGTTAAGTTACAGAGCTGTTGGATGTCAACAGTCCCTAAGTATCATCTGTAAGACAATGGTTTGTGTCAAAGGATATCTGACAACTTAGGCTAAAAACTGTAGAATGATGTGCAGGTAAACTCTCAGTTCTTACGGCTTATGCACTGGTATTCTGATTGCTTGACAGTAGTAACAATGCTAATTTTGTTAGTGCTTGAAAATTAATTTGAAGGTGAAGAAAACATTTCAACAGTTACACTCGCTTAAAATGTAGTTGTTTGCCTCTTGGCAACAAGCAGTGGTAACAGCTGTGTTCATGATGAAGTAGTAAATAGTTTAATGCCTTTTCAACTTCTGTATTAGGAACGAGATTAAAGCTGTAATTTTTCCTGAGTTAGCTGGATTTTCTTAAAACTGGGAGTGTGTAAAGAGGTAATTACAGCTTTAAAAAAAAGATAGTTTGATTCTCAGTTTTATGTTTTTGAAATTGAATTTAAATTTGAGGTATTTAAAAAAAACTTTATCAAATGCATAATCTGTGTCCCCACCCCATTTTGTGTGTGAAATTGTGGGCTTCATAAATATCCAAATTTGTATTTCTTAACAGGAGTTGTCCCTCTGGCTACCTATATGCGCATCTACAAGAAGGGTGATATAGTTGATATCAAGGTACTTTCTATGATGCTACATAATTAAAAGCTAAAGCAGTGTAATCCTTTTTGGTATCCAGTTTCTTGAGGTAGTCTTTTTTGTTACTTGGGTTGTGTGTGTCAGCGCAAATACCCACTGCTCACTTTTGAAGCAATACCGGAATGGCGATGCTACTGAGCCAATAGTAATGCTTCAGTGTCACATGCTGTTTTATGTGGGTTTTTACATATATGTACAAAAATAATATATTTAACTGTACTTTGTTCCTGTGTGTTCAGCTGAAAAAAGTGAGTGAAAGATGCCAGATCTAATACTCGGGTTGCTGTATGGTGCCTGCTAGCACTACTTTTATAGGAATCCCAGCTGTCATTTTAGTAGATGTTCTGTTTTGCCTGACTTGCACCTGCTATTCAGAAGAGCGGTAGTTTATGGTGGTGTAGCTGATAGTTACGTCTCTGTCTCTGTATCATGGTAGGACTATACTTAAAGTAAATGTGTACAGGGATGGTGATTGCGAAGCCACATTAAAACCAAGAATTAAATGTAAGGATACATTATATATATTGTATGGGGGGGAAAAAGTGAAGCAGCATTTCCCATCACTTGGTATTTTCTACAACTTGTCCTTTAAAATCAACTACTTTCAAAATTAAGTTCCTACTTCATTGAATCCTTTAGTTTCACTTGAAATGCAGGGGTTTTGTAACAATCACACAGTAGATGGTGTGTAATTTGCTTGTTTGTTGTTTGACTCTGAGAACTGCACTGTTCAGAATTAACACTTCTTGACACACTGGAGCTTGATGATGATTGTCTCCTGTGATTGCTTGCTGAAAGCAAAGTGATCGATCATTTCACCGACACTGAAAGCAACCAGAATTGTCATAGCAAATTTGGTAGTATCCAGATACAAAATGCGTGGTTATAAATTCTAATGTATGAATAAAATAGGAGTATTTTTAAATCAATCTCAAGTAATTTGAAATGTGTACTTTAAACAGCTTCTGAAAGAGAAGACCTTGATGTTGCTTCCCCTTCCTCCAAGTTAAAGTTTACACTTTATTCTTGTTTTACCTCTTAACAGGGTATGGGTACTGTTCAAAAAGGTATGCCCCACAAGTGTTACCATGGCAAGACTGGAAGGGTATATAATGTTACTCAGCACGCCGTGGGCATTATTGTTAACAAGCAGGTTAAGTAAGTAATGAAATTCCATGTATTGAAACTTTGTATTTGGGAAAGTTGATCTGTGTAATTGCACCCTCCTTTCACTTTGCCAGTTAGACAGTTATTGTCTTGATTGGTCATTCAAGGTGGGCAAAGTATATATCCTTTTTATAACCCAAGCAAATGATGGTCGTTTGACTTGGATCCTGTCAGAGGAAACAGCTTTTATTTTCCTGAGCAGCACTTAAAGTGACATTACCTAATGGGGATTTTCAGCCAACTTTTACATTGGTACTGAAGCCCTTTTTAAATATTAATTTGTAGCTGTACCCAGCTGGATTTTATACAGTTCAATCAGAAAAGGACAAGTTGGGCTTTTTTCCAGGAACTGGACTGGAGTACAGTGGTAATACAATTCTTTGCTTGTATGTTACAAGGTTAAAATTATGTGTTCTCCACAATCTTAATCTGAAATTGTCAGCACATTGTTATATATTAATAAGATTTCAGTTATATAAGTTATATCTGATTTGCATCTGCAGCAGTGTATTTTGACTGACTGCCCCTTAAAGAAAACTTATCTGTGATTGAGCTTATGGAGTTACTCGTGTAAGGGCTATAAAACTAGCTTTGAAGTAGCCTTTTTTTTCAAGGGCAGTAGATTAAAAACTGATTTTCTTTCTTAGGGGCAAGATTCTTGCCAAGAGAATTAATGTGCGTATTGAGCATATTAAACATTCCAAGAGCAGAGACAGCTTTCTGCAGCGTGTGAAGGAGAATGAAAAGAAGAAAAAGGAAGCAAAAGAAAAAGGCATTTGGGTTCAACTGAAACGTCAGGTAATATTTTTATTGTAGTTGACACATTGTTGATTCAGTTCACCAAAAAAATCAGCTAGAACCAAACCAGTTCAGTTTTCTTCCAAAACACCAGTGTTATGCTGTAAACTGAGCTCTTTGTGTCTGTCTTTGAAAAACAAAACCAAAAAATCCCACCCCACATGAATGAAGCCGTTTACAGCATTCTGAAAAATCCAGGTCTTTGCCAGATTGTGTTGGAGGTGTCTGATGCCACCACCCTCACTTGGGTTCGCAATCCTTTTGTGGCAGGTTGCTTTTTTTTTTTTTTTTTTTTTTTTTTTTTTTTTTGAGTAGAGTGGCAGCATCAGTGTGCCTGCACCTGAGCTGTCTGATACATTTGGTGCTTGAACAGAACTGCACTGTTCCTGAATGGAAGTTGTCACCTTGGCTGTGAACAAAGGGACAGATGCTTCCTGTTCTGTTGCTGATCTGCAGCAGAAGCTCTGGCTGATTTCTAGGATCAGTGTTGTCTTTGGTTTAGTTGAATTTAGCTGTGACAGTTTCTGTTGTAACCCTTTAAGAAAAGAATTGATAAATAGACTTTAGAGAGGAGATAATGGCTGCTGCTTCTGGAACCCTAGGGTATGTCACTTCATGATAATTTGGATTAGTAAATTGCAGAGGGTAAAGTGTTGTTTTTTTCATTAAGCAATGAAAGTCAAGCACCCTTTCTAGCAGATCGTTTTCTTACTGCTATTCTTTGAATCAAATTTTGAAGAGAGTAGGAATGGTAAAAATACTGTAATGTTTATATAATAATGTGTTAAAAATGGTTGCCAAAATGAATTTTCTGTAAGGTTGCTTTTGAGTTTTAGTGCCATGAGTTTTCTTTTTTTTTTTCTTTTTTTCCTGTTCACAGCCTGCTCCACCCAGAGAAGCACACTTTGTGAGAACT